GTAGTAGGACAATACCAATATTATTGTAATTTAGTACCTATATATTGTGTGAAAGAAAGAGAAAGAAAAATAATAAAAAATTAAGAAAATGTAGTAGTAGGAGAGATGAATAGTAAAGATGAGAAAAATAATAAAAAAATATGTGGAATGAGAGAGAAAGAAAAATAAAAAAATAAAAAAAGTTTGTAGTGGAGAGAGAGAGAATGATAAAATAATAAAATGAGATGAATGTTAGTGGGGATGATGTCATTCTCAATTTTATTTTTAACTTATTTTAAACCTAGGGAGTTATAAGGAAGATATTTAAGGGGGTAGGGAGTTAGAAGTAAAAAATTTTGATGAGGGACTGAAAAGGAAGTCAGAAATAGGTTTAGGGATTTTTAAAGAACTTCCCCCAAGATTATTCATATATATATAGTAGTCATTATAAAGTTTACGATTGTTGTAGATTTGTATGATATTTGGGGATTATTAATTTGTACTAATCTCATTAAGGGATAATACCCAATTTATGTTATTAGGAATATCCCAGCAATTCAAATCGAATAAAAATATGGCATAAAAATCGGTACAAATATGTTTTCATATAATAATGATATAATAATGATTAGAAGACAATTTCGATGGAAACAATATGGAAAAAAATCGGTCAGATAATTTGGTAACCAATGCATGCAATTTTGTAGCAAATCTGAAAAAATTTTAGATTGTTTAGGTAAAAAAAAAGGAATTAGTTAAACAAATGGGAAAAATCGTTCATATGATATGCATGAAATTATTAATGCATGAAATTATTTTATTCCATAATTTTTTGATAATTAATTTTACATGTGGGACAGCCGTGTTTATTTCCTTTTTTTTGTTTTTTTTTTTTATGTGACCTGTATTAAGAAGTTGAATAAGGTTAATTTTTTATGTGATTATGAATATGATTTCTTAACAAAATATGTCACATGTTTTTGGTAAAAAAATAAAACAAAATATCGGAGATACTATGTGATAAGGTTAATTTTTATGTGATTATGATAATATTTTTTTTAACAAAATATGTCACACGTTTTTTGTAAAAAAATAAAACAAAGTTCTTTATCACAAGAAATTGAAGAGATTTGTTAACAAACAAATTCCAACAAAATCGTATAAATTTGTTAAGGAATGTAGATCACTTATCACTTATGAGATAAAGATAATGTTGCAAAAAAAAAAAAAA